ATGATCAGAAAGAATTCTATAATATGCAATGTACAAAGACTATCTTTCTGTGTACAAATAAAGGACAAATAAGAAAACGCATCCGTATTGATTTATCATTACAGAAAGAAACACAATAAACCAAAAGAAAACATACACACACACACACACACACCAAAACAAAAACACCACTCAGTCATTTATCTATAGGGGATGGGGAAGGGCTAGGGTGAGAGAAATACAGGAAAAAGTTATACTTCTCTGAGCACACCTTTTTACACAGATTTGGCTTTTGAAGATATGTTAAAGTTCTACATATTAAAAAAAAAAATTAAAAAATTAAGAAAAAAACAAACTCAAGCAGAAGAATCCAAGTGTTTCAACTGAATTGCATAATCACACTGTATGGAAAAATAACTTCATTCCCACCGATTTATGAACACATTGACTCTCAGCTTTTAGGAGAAGGGGGCAGAAGAGCAAACAAATCCTAAACTCATTCTTCTTGGTAGCTGTATGGAGGAAGCAAACCTGAAATGAACCTATTTTATGTGTGGTACAGGATTAAGCAAATAAGCAAATGTGTTGATGTCAGGAGCTGAAGTTTTCATGGAGGAATGGGGAGATGCAAATACTTGTACTTTCTGTAAGAATATGTATGCAAACATATATATGTGTATACGTTTTGGTATGTTTGTCTGTACGTACAGTTCTATGGGCATGTCTGTGTGTGGTCCTCCCAGTTTTGACAACCCAAAGGGCATAAAGGCAAATGTGTACACCTTCCATTCAGATCTTGATCTCTCCTCACGTCAGAGAAATGGATGACTCCAAGGCTAAAGTAAGGAAGACAAAAACTGAGCCAGAAACATGTTGCTATATCAGAAGGCAACGAAGTGCTTGAAAAAATGATGGTGGAATGTCAAAATGACAATGGAGACTCTCGAAGAGCTCTTGTTGGCCCAAGCTGGGGTCATTTGGACACCAAAAGTAATTGAACAATGAAGAATTGTAAGTCATTAAAACAATAGGATTCCATACTGATGATAGCATGATATAATGAATAAATAAGGGAGAAGGGAGAGAATTGTTTTCCCACAGCATACAAATGGTAAATGTAGAGGAAGTGGAACAAGTTTTTAAAACCTTAGAAAATGATTTTGTGACCACCACAGGAAAGATGGATCTGGTCTAAAATCCTCAAGGGATGCCAAATCCAGGAAGTACAATTTGAAGGGAAAGAGCAGGATATTTGCAATCTTAAAGTATCTCCCTCCAGACTGCTAATTAGTTACAAGGAATTAAAAAAAAAATAGCCAGACACTAAATATATAAGAATATTATAGCCTGACTTTTAGCAAAGACATATTGGAATATTTAGGAACAAAAAGACATCATATTTACAATTTGTAAGATATTAATAAGTATTTATCAGAATAAGTTGTTTTATATAAACACAAATACTTGTAAATTTTTAAAAAATAACATTTTGATATGAACCTATTCCATTACTGAATGTGTTTGTTCAGTGTTTGCTGTGTTTGTTCCCCAACTTTTTTCTTATAACCAACACTGATTCTGGACTACAAGATTAGACACAGCTCAGGCTGGTCTAATGGTATTCTATTCCTTGTACCACAGTGACTGGTCCAGGTATGGACACATGACCCAGTCAGACCAACTTGGGAGTTCTTCCTTTAAAAAACAAAAACTAACTCTTGCAGGAGTGGTTAGGAAAATCAACGTCTTTCCTCTTATGTCATGAGAAAAAAAATTCTGATAGTGTAGAAAGGTTTCAATTGAAAAGTACAAGCAAGCCCTAAGCAACAAACCCTCTTCCCAGTGAAAAGAGCTTTTGACTGACGTTTCCTTCTAACTCCAAATATGTTCATGCTCTAGTTTGTTATTTTCAACATCAAGCAATGGTTCCTGATATCTACACAGCAAAGCTGATGAATTCAGATCTTACATACCTCTAAAACTCCTGCTCATATTCAATGTATTTTTTAAAAATTCTGTTAGCTAAGACAACTGTGTTTTAATTTTTATTAATTCTTTTGTAACTGCTCTTTTTTTCATAACCAATTCTTGTTTTTCAGACAAATTATCTTGAATCTGAAGATGCTAACTTAAAATCCGTACAAGTCCCTGATGATACAGGTGGGTGGTGAGGCTCTCCTCTGCTGCTGACTAAGATTCTTTCTTTATAAGTTTTGCCCTGAATGGAAGACCTGGCCTGGGATGCTGCACAAATGGGCAGGACTTCTCAAGTGGCTGTTTCTCTCCTCATTTTTAGGGTATGGGCAGGGAAAGGCAGAGAAGCCCATAAATTAATAGGTATTTATCAAAATAAGTTGTTTTATATAAACACAAATTCTAGTAGATGTCACTCCCTAATTGAAGCCCTAGCCTTTCCCTAAGTCAAACTACTCAAGCTATTTTAGAGTAAGCTATAAACCAAGCAGCCACTCTGCAGACAGTCGCTTAATCAGGCCCTCCATTTCTGGCCTGCCTTCAGCCACTCAGAGCTGCCATCTCCACTGTCAGGAGGAAGTATTTCCACCTCAGCTACAAACATAGCTCCTGCATGTGCTCTGAGCCAGGACTCCTTCAATAGCATTTATCCACCAGTATCACAGCACTGGCCTTTCTTGTTCAGAAATGTAGTAACCACTCTCATTTTTGAAGAATTTATTCCTCTTTGTTCTTCCTGTCATTTCAATAAGAGAAAGGAACACAAAAGTGTGCTTTGTTTACAACTGTAAAAGTAGAATGCCCCCAAAGAACATTTGTTAAATGTCTTCTGGTCTTTTTAAGTCTTTTCTCATCTACTAATTCCTTTAATACCAGGCTGAATGCTCACTTCTTCCAAGAGACTCCCTAAATTGTCTTGGCTATTATATATACAGCCACACCAGGTTCTTTTTATTTGTTTATACTTTTGCCCATTTCTTGAATACTTCCAAGACTGTTTTTCTCATTCAAGAAAGCCGAAGCTGTTATCACGTGCATGTTCCTTTGTGGTGGTTGCTTCTGGAAAGTATTCCCATATTTCTTATTGGTTCATTATAACTGAAAATAATGGTGGGATTAGTACATAATACGAATCCTACCATTATGTTCAATTATAATGAACCAATTAAAAATATGGGAAAAAACCTTGAACAATTAAAAAACAAAACAGCAACAAAAGGCTCCTCAGTGATGGGGTTCAGATGATACTACTGCGATCCTTCCTTCCTTCACCAATCAAGTCTCAATAGAAGTACTTATAAACAAAGAAGACACATAGAAGACACTAAAAATATAGGGGGTAATGAGCAGACATGTATCAAGCATTATTATTTAATAACTATTTCCTTACAGAATCTGTAAAGATCCGATACATAACAAACTCTGAGAAGGTCCTAGGGATGATGAAGAAAGCACATTGGTTATTCTTAAAAAAAGGAATGGAGACTTTGTCCAAAGTTTCAGAGGCAATTGTCTTTGCCATTATCATTTAGATTTCTGCTCTACTTATCACACAGTGCTGTGAGTCCCAAGCAGAGATCCTACCCAGAACTCACTGGATTTTTATATTTGTGTTCTTTATTCTAATAAATAATCAGAATGTAAGAACAAGTCTCTCAAAAGAAAGAACCTCATCAATGGAATCTCTTGAGCTTAAAACGTGCCTCAATTAAAGCAAAGACAGATAATTTGCCTTCAAACAGCAAGGCAGCTGTCAGCTCTTGTCAGGAGAGCTAGCTGCCTTTTACTGTCCTTCCTGCACTGTGCAGTACCAGCTTATACAGTAGCAACCAGACAGCTCCAAGAACTGTATAATCAGAAGACCTGAGGTTGAATTAATGCTTTCCAGAAGCAAACAACACAAAGGAAAAGAGGCAAGGCAAACTTTTCTTCCAGAATGTTACTTACTAAGTTTATTGGATTTGGGAGAAAAGTCTGTTCTGGGCTGAGAAACCAAAACAAATGGAAGCGCAAGGCTGAAGCAGACACTGGGGATCATTACACCACTCGTTTCATTTCCTCTTTTTGGCTTTCTACTCCTAGCAGATGTTGAATATAAAAGCTTTAATATGCTCCATTTCCCCTGTGGTCTTTCATTTGGGACCCATATTTCTCAAAGGATGGTTAAAGAATCAATTATGCTCTAGTTACCTGGGAGACTTTTGGATTGCAGACTGACTCCCTGTTTTAAGAATGGGCAATCTAAAGGGCTGAACATCGATTTACCCTTCAAGTTCCAAGGTATCCAGTAAGAATACAAGGTAGTCACATATACAACCAGAATGGGTCATGTTTCCTGCTTGCCAAGCTGTGCTTTACAGCCCAGAACTCACTTTAAATAAAGGCTTTTACAAAATACAAAACTCACAAGCATGTAGATGCAGGAGCTGCAAAAACTGCTATTAAGGACAGTATCCATTACGAGATGTAATGTTACCTCGTGAGAAATTTCTTTCTCAATTCGTAAATATTTTGTTTTAATGAGGAACTAGCATGTTGCTTTTCTAAGACCATTTCTAAGACCAAACCTTCTATCAACATTTCATGGTCCCACATGACCTGACATCCGCTTTATGGCTTCCCTGGTTCCAACTTTACAGCCATGTGTTAAGTAGCTATATATGTAAAGATATGTGGATATGTTTACATGTGTACACACACGCACGCACATACATACCTGTGAATGTCTTCTTATGCAAGTAAACTCAATCCCCTTTGGAAAAAAAGTACTGTAATTAAAAAAACAATACAAGCAAATAAAGTTATACTAAGTTGAATTTTAATGTTAGAATCAGGGTACTGACAAAGCCTAACTTGGCTGGAGATATTTTCTTGCTTAAGCTATATGTAATTAAGGGGTGAACAAAACTTACACTTAAAAATAATCTGGAGGGAAGAGACTCAACATGGCGGCAGGCGGGGAGGCAGCACTTTCAGTACCTCCTCAGCCACACGAACAGAGAAACACATCAGAACGTTCGGATTCTACCTGCTGAGAAACTCCCAGCAAAATTCCGTTGCAGTGAGTCCTAGGCAGGAGTTTGGGATTATTGGAGGTGACAGCTTGCCCCGGACGGGTGAATCTCGGCCACCCTGTGCGGAGGTGCAGGCAGTCGCTGTCTGCTGACCAGCGCAGAAGGAAGCGTTTCAGCACTGCCAGAGACCTGTGTGGCGTAGGGACCCTTTGAAGAGGTTGCTAACCAAGCCTTCATGAAACAGCGGACCAGAACTGAAACCGAGTCTGGGGCAGACCAGAGACAGGCCAGACCCACCCCTCCCATCGGACACTCCGGCTCGCCATAGCAGAGAGCTGATGTCACCAGAGTTCAGCGAACGGGATCCCTTCCCAGCGAAATCGCTTCAACAGGTGTGTAACTCCCATACCCACCAGATACATACAGCTGGGAAACCTCAAAAATCTCGCCCCAGAGCTCCATGGGTGTGACTGTAGGGGCCGAGGGAAGCAGAGGGGACTCCCGACCCCCAACTCCCCCTACCGACCCCCAATTCCCCCTACCACCAGCGGTGACACCCAAGGCCTTAGCTGCTAGTTCCCAGGGGCATGGCCACCGAAGGGGTCCAGGCAAATTAAACTGACAGTTCCTAGATCACCCACTCCACAACCTTGGGGTCTGGGTGAATGGCAAACAAGACAGAGTGCTCAGTCGTTCATGAAATAGGGCACTCAGGGGGGCTGCAAGTGTAACTAGATCCGTGGAGGTCGCCTCCAGTGAGCGAGGCCTGGCTGGCTGGCAGGAGGAAGGCGGGAGGGGCCGGAGAAGAGAAACGGCTCTAGACTAACAGGATTGGAGAGACGCCCAGTAGGGGAAGGGAGCCGCCTTGCAGGGATTGCTGCTGGCACATAGAGGGCAGAAGCTTGGCTCGGAGGGCACAGCTCTGCCTACTGAAAGAGAAGAAAATAGAACTCTAAGACTTTATTTATCATTTTTTTCCTTTTCCCTTTTCAATTTTTATTGTTCTTTCCATTCTCCTTTATTCTACCTATTTTTCTCTCCCTCTTTCTCTTTAAGGACTCCTTCCTTCCCCTTCCCCCTAACTTTCATCCCAAGCATTACGACTTTCATTACGTGTAATTTTCTAAATGCAAATAGGTAAATGTTCCGAGGCTGTCTGTAGGGCTCCTAAGTACCTAGCTATTACCAAATACCCTGATACATTTGCCTGTTAATATCCCCCTTCAATAGAGCATCTTCCAAAGTAGCCAAGACATACTAACCTTCATACATCATAGCACCCAACCTAAACATAAAGTCCTAAGACCAATCAACAGATCACTATATGCCTACAGAATCCATAAGCCTTTTATGAATCAAATGAATCAGCTTTAAATTACAATAAAGCCCAACATCTCTAGACATAGTCTCCCACCACAAAGGAGAGACCACATAGATATACAAAACCAAAACAAATTTATAGGAGAAAACAGAAACACAGCAGTTAAACAGAATTGGAAAGTAACGTGAACACCATGAAAAAACAAGGGAAAAAGGGATTACAAACAATGCAGGACAACTTAAATTTACAGGAGAACCTAGAGGCATCAGAAAAATAGACAGAGAAAGAACTCAAGGCATACCTGACTCAAATGGAATGAAATCTTAAAGAAGTCATTAGATAGCAAGTTCAAACAATGAAAGGATACTTTGAAAATGAATTACATAAGCAGATTCAAGAAGCAAAAATGAAATCTACCAGGAGATAGAAATTTTTTAAAAAATCAAACACTAATCCTAGAAATGCAGGAAACCATAAACCAAATCAAAAATTCAAATGAGAATACTACAAGTAGACTAGATCAAATAGAAGTCAGAACATCAGATAATGAACACAAAGTTTATCAACTCGAAAAGAGTATAGTCAATGCAGAAAGGCTGGTAAGAAACCTCGACCAAAACATACAAGAAATATGGGATGTCATAAAAAAACCAAACTTAAGACTCATTGGGATAGAGGAAGGTATAGAGGTCCAAACCAAAGGAATGAGCAATCTGTTGAATGCAATAATTTTAGAAAACTTTCTAGACATGAAAGATAGAATGGATTGCCAAATCCTGGAAGCCTACAGGACCCCAAACATACAAAACCGTAATAGACCAACTCCAAGACACATTATTATGAAGATACCCAACATAAAGAACAAGAAGAGAATACTAAAAGCTACAAGAGAAAGGAGGAAGATTACATTCAGGGGTAAACCAATTAGGTTAACGGCTGATTTTTCATCACAGACGTTGAAAGAGAGAAGATCCTGGAACAATGTATTTCAAACGCTGAAAAATAATGGATTCCAACCCAGAATATTGTATCCAGCAAAATTAAGACTCAGGTTTGAAAATGAAATTAAAATATTCCATGATAAACAAAAGTTAAAAGAATTCGCAGCCAGAAAACCAGCACTGCAAAGCATTTTGAGCAAAACCCTATAAGAAGAGGAAATGAAAAACAGCACACAAAACCAACAGTGGGAGGTAACTCAGTAAAGGGGGGAAAAATAATCAAAGAGAAAAAAAAAAGCCAAATTAAAATAAATAAACAAACAAACAAACAAATAAACAAACATGACTGGAAGTACAAACCTTATTTCAATAGTAACCCTAAACGTTAATGGCTTAAACTCACCAATCATGGGACATAGGCCAATAACTTGGATTAAAAAAACAGATCCAACAATATGCTGCCTTCAGGAGACTCATATGATAGGAAAAGACATACACAGGCTGAAGGTGAAAGGTTGGGAAAAATCATACCATTCACATGGTCCTCGGAAGCAAGCAGGAGTGGCCATACTCATATCAAATAAAATCAACTTCAAACCTAAGTTAGTCAAAAGGGATAAAGAAGGACACTATATACTGTTTAAAGGAACCATTCACCAACAAGACATAACAATTATCAATAAGTATGCACCAAATAATGGTGCTGCAATGCTCATAAAACAAACTCTCCTCAAGTTCAACAATCAAATAGACCACAACACAATAATTATGGGTGAATTCAACACACTGCTCTCACCATTGGACAAATCCTCCAAACAAAAGTTGAATAAAGAAACTATAGAACTCAATAACACAATCAATGACCTAGACTTAACCAACATATATAGAATATATCAACCATCATCAAGTGGATATACGTTTTTCTCAGCAGCACATGGATCCTTCTCAAAGATAGATGATATATTATGCGAAAGGGCAACCCTTAGTAAATATAAAGGTGTGGAGACAATATCATGCATCTTATCTGATCATAATGGAATGAAACTGGAAATCAATTATAAAAGAAGGAAGGAAAAATCCTGCATCACCTGGAAAATGAACAATATGTTACTGAATGATCAATGGGTTACAGAAGACATAAAGGAGGAAATTAAAAAATTCTTAGAGATAAATGAAAACACAGACACAACATATCAGAATGTGTAGGACACAATGAAAGCAGTTCTAAGAGGAAAATTCATTGCTTGGAGTTCACTCCTTAAAAAAAGAAAAAAAACAACAAATAAATGATCTCACACTTCATCTTAAAACCCTAGAAAAAGAAGAGCAAAACAACAGCAAAAGTAGTAGAAGGCAAGAAATATTTAAAATCAGAGCTGAAATCAATGAAATCGAAACAAAAGAAACTATTGAAAAAATTAACAAAACTAAAAGTTGGTTCTTTGAAAAATTAAATAAAATCGATAGATCCTTAGCCATGCTAACAAAGAGAAGAAGAGAGAGAACTCAAATTACTAGCATACGGGATGAAAAAGGCAATATCACAACAGACACTTCAGAAATACAGAAGATAATTAGAAATTATTTTGAATCCTTATACTCCAATAAAATAGAAGATAGTGAAGGCACCGATAAATTTCTTAAGTCATATGATCTGCCCAGATTGAGTCAGGAGGATATACACAACCTAAACAGACCAATATCAATTGAGGAAATAGAAGAAGCCATCAAAAGACTACCAAATAAGCAAAGCCCAGGACCGGATGGGTATACAGCAGAGTTTTACAAAACCTT